GCAGTAGTTTGGACACCTCGGTAATTCAACTTGATGAGAGCTAAACGTGCACTGAAAAAAGACGGAAGACACGGGTTGAACAGACAAATAAAGTACTATAAAGCTTGCGTGTTCTTGCAAGTAAAAAAATGTCTAGATGATCGAAATGGATCTTCTCAATACCTTTGATCATTTTTAATTGAGACCATTGCAAAGCATCCAAGACGCAGGCCCTACATTTAGAAGCAATACATTTCTATGACTGTCACAAACAATGCATATGGCTCCACTCAGCTTTTGCGAAGTTTAAAAGCAAGGAGGATGGCAAAGCCGCCTTGTGCTGGCAAGACACAACGTGTAATCAACTCAAAGAATAAAAGAAGAGAGAAGAGATGTTTATTTACAAAGAAAATTTTGGAGATCGGCTTGAATCCACGTTCTACCCTGCTACCCAACATGAAGGAGGAGCGTGTGGAAAAAAAAAAGAAGTGAAAGAAGATGTTCATGATGATGAGGAAGTGCCGATGAAGGAAGACCTTGGATCAATTATAGTCTCTTGTCGAGTTCTGCATCTCTTAAACACTTCTCCAGCACTTTCAGAATATTGTGTTGATGACGAGGTGGTGGTCTCACCTCAACTTTTTTCGCAAACTTGCTGCTTAGTGCAATTCACTAGGATGGTAGTCATAGAATTTCTCTGCGTGATATATTGTGGGCAGACGGACAGAATATTATCAGTTGTCTCAGGGGTGCCACAGGCCTCACAATTGGGGCTGTCTGCACTGACGATAACTTGTAAGTAATGACGAGTAAACGCCCCACCTAATCGTAATCGGTGCAATAAGCTTGTACTGCACCTTTTCATGGTTGGTGGTAATCTAACATGCATATCTGGGTCAAGTTCATGGAGACAGTAGTGATGGTGGCTTGGTAAGAACCAATTTGCTATTGTAGTTTTTTGAAGGAGTGTATACACAACAGAGTTAATATCCGGTCGTGAAAACAGAATAGATAATTATTGTGGCTTTATCGTAGGCCATATTTGCCTCCGCATCAGCTTGCTGGTTTCCATGTAGGCCAGGGTGTCCTAGAATTCACTGATACCTTATACAATGGCCACTTTTCAGGGTTACATTGTGTTATTCAGCTACTTCTTAAGCAAGAAGATGATATGGCTCCCATTTAGCAACCAAATTTATAACCTGAAATCCTTGTTTAGAATCACAAATTATAGTCCAGCTGTGAGGCGGCTGCGTCGATATATATTTAATTACCTCGAGGATTGCCAGAATTGTTGTCACCACTGATGTTGTACGATAGTCTAGAGGGAAGCATTTGGTGGTCTTTAAACTTGATATGACGAATGCCGCTGTTGAAGCAGTGTGTAACACAGACCCGTAAGTAAAGACATATGTGGAAGAGGCATAGGTTGTAGATATAAACAATAGCGTTAGTTTTTTCAGGCAACAAGGGGGCATACGCAATTTCTCGCCCATTTCTAGAATTGATAGGCACACCTTAGGTCTTGATAACGTACAAGCTGGTGCCTCAGCAACTTTCGCCGGAGCAGAGCCTGAGGGTATAGTGCTTTCATGACGCGAAATTGCTTTTACAAAAGTGCTGTACAGTCGGGGGGTAAGTATCGTGGGTAAAGAATGACGACCATAACGGCTCAGCAGTCTGGTATATACTCTTAAAGGTTCACTAGAAAGATAGCTTTCTATGGGAGTTATGCGTGCTTCCGCTGTGACTCCTATCGTTGAAGTACAGCGTGGTAGTACCAAACGTGTTTTTGACGCCTGAGCTTGAAAGCTTTGCAATGTACGCAGGCAGGAAGAGCGAAAACTGATCATAATGGGTACGCTATATCGTAGGTAGCCTACAAAAAGTTCCTCATACAGTTAGATAAATGACCTTTCTGATCGGCCCCATTTCGTGCCTGCTATATAACTAAGCATATATACAAAGCTGCTTAGTTTGGATCAACCATCGATAGATGCTTCGACCAGGACAAGTTTCGGTCGATCACGAATCCTAGGAATCGGCGATGCGTTACATACCGTACCAAAGTATCATAAATCGTAATCAGGTAACGTTGCATCGAATTGCGCGTAAATGCAAAGGCCGCACACTTTGCAGTTGCCAACTGTAGGCCCCGCAGTCGCAAATATTTGGAGCTGACCAAAGTTGCACATTTTAGTCTTGCAAGAAGTTGTGGCCGTGAGAAACCAAGAGCACATGCGCAGATGCCGCCTTTCTTGTTGACATATGTAGATGTCGATCTGTATCCGGCGGTTGTTGTGGCCGAGCCACAACAACCGCCAGATACAGATCGGGCAAGTCACTCCTAGAGGGCTCCCGACGACCACCGCACAACCCACGGAATCTGCATTGTGGAACTCCATGCAGAGTCCAACTTCTAGCGCACCAACCGACTCAACGACTACAGCAGCCACTATGACTACAGCACCAACTACGACTTCACACCAGGACACATCCCCAGCAAAGCAGAACACATAAGTTCAAAGCAAGCTCGAAGTCATGCTTCAACGAAGCGGGTGTGTGTGACGTCTACCGGATAGGTTTAGATATGAGGACTCTAGGAATTGAAGTGCGGGCTTAACCTAAGCGGGAAGTAGTGTCATAGCGTAAGCTTCGTGTGACGTCTTTTGTGATAACCTGTGACGTCAAAGCGTTCTTTTGTATAAGAAAATGTCATTCACGGCAATAAAGACAGTTGCCTTTCTGTTCGTGAATTGTTGTCGCTCGTATGCGTTAGTTTAACCTCCCTTTGCGAAATCTTGTGATGATATTTGGTTAGAGGTTGCTTTTTTTTCAAGAAACCTATCGAGCCTGACCAGCACCATTTTCTCAATGACCTTTCCTACACCACTTGGCAGGGAAATCGGTCTGTGAGATGATAAAGCATGACGTGTTTTTCCAGGCTTCAGAAGCGTGACAATATAACCACTTTTTCTTTGTCTGGCTCTGTACCTGTGCTCCACGATGCATTGAACGTAGAAGAAAATTGCGTGTTTCTACGCCCATACACGAGAACGTAGCGTACGTGATACCATTTGGTCCCGGTGCCGATTAGCGTCGAGTATAGGCAAGTGCGGCATCTGATTTTTGTATCGTGAACATGATGTCAAGACGGCCTTCTGAGGTTGGCAGGACTTGTCAGTAATTTTTTATGGAACAGCAGTAGCTCCAGCTACAATATATTTGCAGTACCCTTCCGCAACGTCTACTTGGCTCCTACGTTGCCCAATCGTCAGAGCTTCGAAAGGGCACTCAAAGAAGGAAGTTCACACTAGGTGTGTACAGTAGGAACACAGTGAGGCTCGTCAATTATAGGGATTTAACGTTGCCTTCTTTGTCTATGATAATGCCTTAATTTGCAATGACAGAGTAGTCCAATGACAACCTGTCGTGGACCTTACGAGAACGTCCAAATGCCAGTGCGTGCAGCTAACACGGAAACCTGGCTATGGCACCCCCGGTATGGGCGTGGGCACCTGTCGTACTTGGTTCCCGCAGAGCCAGAAGAAACCCGCATGTCTGCTACGCGGCCTGTCTTCGTCAGTGCGCGTGACTTGGCGGGGGTGGAACATCGGTGCATGCATACTTGGGCGAAGTGCTCGTAGGGCTTTTTGCATATGACGCACGTTACAACTCGGGCTATTAGAGCCTTGCTCTAAAAGTAAGCTACACGCTTCTTCTGTATTCTTTCTTGGTTGTTCTCAAGCGAATGCAGAATGCAGCCCCAGATTCGGTGGTACCATGTATCTCAATCGCTGATATTGGAGAAGCGGCTTCCCATACAAATGGCTTTCTGGCCATGCTCAGCAAGTTTTTTTTTTTACTTCTTATATTCTGTGTCTTATATCCTGTGCGAAGCCAGTTTCTCTAAGGTGGCCGTGAATGCCTAATCAATTAGAGCATAATTTAACTGACATATTACCTTTTTTTTTCACACCGATTGCATGGACCTTGAATCGGCTAGCTTTTACATCTCTGCTCATTTCGTCTGCTGTTCTAATATTTATGAGGTTTGTTGAATGCATCATAATCGTGTATGTTTTTATTGTGTGCAGCTTTTTATGGTTTTGTTTGTAAGTGAAAAATGTTTTCCTTTTAGTTAATTAGTTAAATAAATAGATTTCCTAATTGTATATGTTGTCTCTTCTTCTAGCATCATGAATTTCTGCTGTCGATCTTTACGTGTGGTAGTGTAAGTGTATTTAATTTTTTTTGGGGGAACAAACGTGAATAAGAGTGTTTCTAAATTGTACGTGTTGCACATAAAATTCGAAAAAGTGCACAATCATACGGCGAACCTAAAATTTTCTTTACCGACTCACAAAAAAAATCATCAGTAGTAGTAAAATACATATTTCAACTTAACAATGTTATTATCTTCAGCATAAGCACCGCCAACGTATATCAACATTTTTTTTCTATAGGTACGAAGCTGTTAATCATTTCAATACTTTCACAAACGGCCTTTTATGTTTTCTTCTTTCAGGAAAGCCACAATGCATGCTATGGGGAGTACGTGATGGTGATGATGTTACAAAGAGCGAATGCTACAGCGCGTCCTTGTCTTGCGCGAATATGACCGACACTTTGGAATCACCAGATGATGATCCTTGCTATGCGTACGACCAGTATGAAAAACGTGGCAATGAAAAAGCGCTACAGGAAGCACTAGCTAAGATACAAGATTAAATGAGTGGGTTGCTTTCGACACTCACAGTGTGTTGTGTGGTTCAGAACATGAGCGGAATAAAAATAAATGATAATGATCCTATAGGACCTCTTTTTTTTCTCGTACAGGTGTCTGGCACCAAGAGGTAAATATTACCGTGCTGCTCAACCAAAGCTGTGCTGTTCAACGTCGGTCATAGAGATGGTTATGCACGTCATTTTCCTTGACTAGATGTGCGTTTTCTTGAATTTTTTTTATTGTGGTAGCCACATGTGAGCTCCTTGATCAAAACAATCACTCTAGTCAAAACCAGCTCTTCTGAATGATAACATTGGCCCACTTGTCGAATACTGCAATATTGCCGTTTCTTTCGCAATTATTACGATCACGAAGCCAACAATGATGTAGAGTGGCACTTTAAATTAGCGGCCTTTATCAAAGTCCAAATATTTGGCACTGTATCTAGTATCGAAATTCCATATGACTTTTTGGTTGTGCGTGATAGTTGTACCAAACTGGAGAACTGTTCAGCAGGCGGAACTGCGCTCGAATGTATGTTGTGCAACAATGAACATGAGCACTAGATGAAAAAGCGTTCTCACAATTTATCCGAGCTCCCTAATGGAAGGCCGTGGGTCTAATTCGGGCTTTTGTGGTGACATTTCAATAAAGCCATGTGCTAGATGACCATGTACATTAATGCAACTGCGCTTTAAGCAACAACAGATAGTCGGAAGTGCCGAAGTCCTCCAAAATTACGCGCCTAATAGTAGAATCGCGATTCGGGCATTAATTAACCCTGATCCAATTTACTTCGTTTCAATTTTACTTTCTTAAACTGTTTCATCCAGGGCCTTTTACGTGAGTGGTGGTGTTACAGAATGAAAAAAGAACAGACACAGATGATTCAGTTAAGGTGCAATTTGAGGCTTAAGAGGCAACTTTTGAATTACTGCACTGATTTTGATGAAAATATCACAACTTGCTTACCTTGCTGTTTAATATATTGCCACTAGTACAAGTTCTACAAGTATTGTTGCCATAAATGCTGGCAGGCTTGCATGTGCCGCTGTTCAAAAGAGGACCAAGATGCCCTTGCGGAGAAGACAATAAAGTTGTATTGCCGTTGATCGAATCAGTCTGACGTCCTTGTGTGGTCTTATCTACAGGTTCCAGTTACGGTGTAACGTGGCACTGGTGGAGGTGCTGGGTAACAGTGTAGGCACTGTTACCACGAGGAACAAGCACTCTCAAATTATGACAGGTAGATTGCAACTATCCCTCAAGAGGAAGGTATATAACAGCTGTATCTTGCCGGTACTTAGCTACGGAGCAGAAACCTGGAGACTTACAAAGAGGGTTCAGCTTAAATTGAGGACGAAGCAGCGAGCAATGGAAAGAAAAATGGTAAGTGTAACCTTAAGAGACAAGAAGAGAGCAGAGTGGATTAGGGAACAAAAGGGGGTTAAGGATACCATAGCTGAAATCAAGAAGAAGAAATGGACATGGGCCGGGCATGTAGCGCGTAGACAGGATAACTGCTGGTCGTTAAGGGTAACTAACTGGATTCCCAGAGAAGGCAAGCGGGTTAGGGGGAGACAGAAGGTTAGGTGGGCAGATGAGATTAAGAAGTTTGCGGGTATAAATTGGCAGCAGCAAGCACAGGACCGGGTTAACTGGCGGAACATGGGAGAGGCCTTTGTCCTGCAGTGGACGTAGTCAGGCTGATGATGGTGATGATGACCACGAGGAAGGTCTCAGCCCCAACGTCGACGCCTTGGTAGAAACAGCCGAATTTCGGCGCAGTTGGCGGCAACTAGGCCTACCACCCCAATTTGGCCCACTTCTGGGACAATCCATAACCATGGAAAGTACGACAACTGCAAGACAGACTGAACAGATGGTCTCCGCCAGCTCTATGGCCACCAGCCCCTCAAACCACAAAGCCCTTCTATGGGGAGCCCTACGAAGACGTTGAAGATTGGCTGGACCAATACCATCGAGTCGCGGTGGCCAACGAGTGGGACTAGCGCCGGAAACTCCGGTATGTCTACTTTACCTGGAGGATTCAGCCCGTATTTGGTTTGAGAACCATGAGGCTGCCTTGACAGCCTGGCCGGTGTTTTGCACTCACCTGCGAAACACGTATGGTAACAGCGACCGGAAGGAACAAGCAGAACGTCTCCTCAATTCTCCCAATCAAAGACCGAATGAAAGCGCGGCCATGTTCGTTGAGCAGATGTCTCGTCTGTTCCGTCGAGATGATTGCACAATGACGGAAGACAAAAAGGTACACTTTCTGATGCGGGGTGTCAAGGAGCAGCTCTTTGCTGGACTTTTGCGAAACTCACCAGCTACCGTGGTGGAGTTCCTCCGTGAAGCGACAACAATGGAGCGAATGCTAAGACAGCGGTCTTCACAGTATGACCGTTTGGACAACCTTGCATGTCTGTTACCACCCTTGGCAACACCCGACGTCACGAGCAAGAGAGACCTTGCTGAGCTATTTCGTGGCATTGTACGCGACGAGCTGCAAAAGCTTCGCGCAGTGCCTTCATAGATTCAAGTGGCTGCTCCGACAGACGTCGTCCGTGAAGAGGTACGGCATCTGGTACGACCATTAGTGGCACCTTCAGCCGAAGCTCCTCTGCTAACGTATGCGGAAGCTGTACGCACTCCAGCGCCGGGAGCCAGCTATTTCCCCCGACCAACCAGCCTGCAGACGCTGCAACACTTCTCGGGCCTGCCACGCTATGAAAACCCTCGACCGCCTTGCCTGCATATGCCGCAGTATTTCACGGGCCCGCCACACTATGATAATCTGCGACTATAATATGCGGAAATCTAGCGTGTGGCACGCTTCCGACAATCGGCCACTTTGCTACCCCTGTGGTGATCCAGGTCACTTGTACCGGGAGTTGTTGTACAGACAGATGGGCCTGTCTGAATTTCGACCCGACGCTCATCGGCCCCAAGATGGGGAACGACCCTGCGCTATTGCAGAAGATTTGGCAAGCCTACCGTCTCCAAATCGTCAGCGACGCCAATCACCCTCTCCGTTTCCTCGGCGCTCTACGTTCTCGAATCAATACTCTACTTTCGCCGATAGGTCGGCGGGACGATCCGCTAGGTCCCCAAGTCTATGCCGGGGAAACTGGGATCAGCGGCCTCCGGGGGTGGGACTGCTGTTAAGATATCGTCAAAACAGCCTCCTTCGACTCATCCGTCGACCTTCGACGATTCCTTTCAGCCGACACCTCTCATCGCCGACGAACCCCATTCTGCTGACATTGCCGTTCTTGTCGACAACCATCCAGTAACTGCTCTGGTCAACACCGGCGCTGACTACTCAGTTATCAGCGCTGAACTTGTGGCTGAACTCAGGAAGGTTACGACTCCTTGGGGGCATGGACCAAACCTTTAGAAAGTAGGTGGTGATCTCTTGACACCAATAGCGAGATGCACCGCAAGGCTGCAAATACGCGAGTCAACGTTCATTGATTGTTTCGTTGTGCTTCCCGAATGCTCCCGGAAAGTTATCGTTGGCATGGATTTCCTTCGCGAGCACCGCGCTGTTATAGATCTTCGAGACTGCCTCGTAACGTTTGCTGACCACTATGCTCGGAAGCCTAGAGATACCGATCCGCAGAGCACTACGCTTCGCATGGTCGAACACACCATCACACTTCCGCCACAAACCAGTATGTTCGTTACTGTACAGGGCGGCATAGATCATGACAGTATAGTGGTATCGCTGAAGCCAACCTTTCGGTGCTCTTGTCTCAGCAAATCTGCGTTGCCCACGGCAAAATCCAATTTAAAAGTGGGATGATGAAGTTGTTAGTGACCAATTTTAGTTGAGCATACCAACAATTGGCTAAGCGAAACCTATCTCTAATTTCGAATCCATTGCCGATGAATCGTGTACGACAATTGCCCCAATTTCTGCAGCCGTTTTAAATGACGCAGTGGTAGCCTATACAGCCGATGTCAATCCCAAGCTGTCATGGGCACAGAAAGAGCAAATGCGCGGTATTTTCCACATGTTTAGTGACTGTTTCGCGTATACCTCCAAGATAAAGCAAATGCCAACCGTAAAGCACCGTATTGTCACAGACCATGATGAACGACCCATTTGTCAGCACGCCTACCGAGTATCACAAAACGAACAAGAAGCAATACGTTCTCAAGTGAAGCAGACGCTCGCAGGCGGCGTAATCCAACCCTCGAACAGTCTATGGTTTTCCCATGTCGTACTTGTAAAGAAGAAGCATCCTACTCTTCGGTTTTGTGTCTATTGCCACAAACTCAACAAAGTGACAAAGAAAGACGTTTATCCTCTTCCGCGCATCGACAACTCACTAGACCGCCTCCGACGCACCCCCTTATCCTCCATGGATTTACACAGAGGCTACTGGCAGATCGAAGTTGATGAACCCGACCGAGAAAAAACAGTAGTCATAACACCTGATGGTCTGAACGAATTCAAAGTGCTGCCGTTTGGTCTGTGTTCTGCTCCTGCGACATTCCAGAGGATAATGGATATAGTGTTCTCAAGTCTCAAGTAGGAAGCATGCCTTGTTTACTTAGATGGAGTCGTTGTCTTATCACAAACGTTTGAGCAGCACTTGCAGCGACCTAAATCTGTGTTTGTTGCAATTATCATGGCAGGCCTATCACTTAAACCAAAAAAATTCATTTTGGTTACAATGAAATAAAGTTTCTCGGCCACCTTGTTAGCCACGATGGTATTTGGCCGTGCCAAGACAAAACACTGGCTGTCGCAGATTTTCCACCACCTGCCAACAAACCTGATGTGCGTCAACTTTTATATTTCTGCGCATACTACATACGTTTTGTGCAAAATTTCGCAAACATTGCCGCACCCCTCACTCGTCTGACAAAAGAAGATGTTCCCTTCACGTGGGGCCCTGAACAAAGACACGCTTTCTCCGAGCTGTAACAGCGTCTCCAGACTGAGCCCTTACTCGGACACTGCGACGAAGATGCCGACACTAAACTACACACAGACACCAGTAACATCGGCCTTGGTGCAGTCCTCGCTCAGCGGCAAGGTGGCGTCGAACGTCCTATTGCT